TGATAATATGGAGCTCTTCCACCGTCTCATTCCACAGGTGTAGTCAATTTGATTTCTGTGTATTCCATCTCGTGAGGTCCATGTGTATAGTCATCTTTTATGTTGTTTAAAAAACATATTTTCAATGATGAGATCATTGGTCTTACAAAATTCTATCATGCAATCTCCAGCATCCTTCCTATCACCGAGACTATATTTGCCAACTATTTAACCTTCCTCTTTGTTTCCAACCTTTGCCTTCCAATTGCAGTAATTATCAATACATCTTGATTGCAAGTTTGATCAATTTCAGACTGAAGAAGTTGGTAGAATTCTTCAATTTTATCATCTCTGGCTTTAGTGGTTGGTATGTAAATTTGAATAATAGTGGTATTAATTGGTCTTTCTTTTGTTGTTAGGTGGCATTGAATCAGTACTGACTCATAGGGACCCTATGCACAACAAAATGAAACACTGCCCGGTCCTGACCTAACCTCACAATTATTGCCACGCTTGAGCCCATTGATGCTGACACTTTGCCAATCCATCTCACTGGGGGGATCTTCCTCTTTTTCTCTGACTCTCCACACTACCAAATATGATATCCTTCTCCAGTGACTGGACCCTACTGACAATATAGCTGAAGTATGAGAGACGAAGTTTGGCCATCTTGGCCTCCAAGGAGCACTCTGGCTGCACTTCTTCCAACACAGATCTATTTATTCTTTTGGAAGTCCATGGTACTTTCAATATTCTCCTCCAACACCATAACTCAAAAGCATCAATTCTTCTATGGTCTTTCTTATTCACTGTCCAAATTTTGCATGCACATGAGGTTATTGAAAATACCATGGCTTGGTTCAGATGTACCTTAGTTCTCAAGTTGACATCTTTGCTCTTCAACACTTTAAAAAAGTCTTGTACAGCAGATTTGCCTAATGCAATATATTATTTGATATTTTGGCTGCTGCTTCCAGGAGTGTTGATGGTTGAGCCAAGAAAAATGAAGCCTTTGACAACTTCAATCTTTCCTCCATTTATAAGAATGTTGTTTATTGGTCCAGTGGTGAGGATTTTTTTTCTTTACACTGACATGCAACCCACACTGAAGGCTATGTATGGTCTTTGATCTTCATCAGTTAAGTATTTTAAGTCCTCTTCACTTTCATCAAACAAGGTTGTATCATCTGCACGTTTTTCTTCATAGCACCCAGCTTCTCGGATTATTTGCTCAGCATACAGGTTGAATAAGTATGGTGAAAGAATACAACCCTGTTGCACACCTTTCCTAATTTTAAACCATCCAGTGTTCCCATGTTCTGTTTGAAAAACTGCCTCTTTGTCCATGCACAGATTCCTCGTGAGCATAATTAAATGTTCCAGAATACTCATACTTTTCAATGTTGTCCATAGCTTGTCATGATCCACAAAATCGAAGGCTTTTGTGTAGTCAATAAAGCACAAGTAAACATCTTTCTGGTATCTTCTGCTTTCAGCCGAGATCCATGTGACATCAGCAATGACATCCCTCATTCCACATCCTTTTCTGAGTCTGGCTTGAAAACCTCTGGAAGTTCTCTGTCAATGTATGCTTGTAGCCATTTCTGTATTACTTTTAGTAAAACTTTACTCGCATGGGGTATCAAAGATATTGTCCAATGATTTCCGTATCCTATTGGGTTGCCTCTCTTTGGAATGGGCACAAATATGGATCTCTTCCAATCAGTTGGCCAGATAATTGTCTTCCAAATTGCTTGGTAGAGATGAGTGAGACCCTCCAGTGCCACCTCACTTTCTTGAAAGATTTCAATTTGTAGTCTATCAATTTCCAGTGCCTTGTTCTTTGCCAATTTCTTCAATGCACCTTGGATTTCTTCCTTCAGCATCATTGGCTCTTGATCATACGCTTCCTCTTGAAACGGTTGAAGATTAACCATTTTCGTTTGGTACCGTGACTCTGTGTATTCCTTCCATCTTCTCTTGATGCTTTCTGCATCATTCAATAATTTTCCCAGATAATGCTTCAATAATGAAATTCTAGCCTTGATTTTTTTCTTTAGTTCCCTCAGGTTGAGAAATGCTGAGCATGTTCTACCCTTTTGTTTTTCTAACTCTAGATCTTTTCACATTTTGTTGTAATATTTGACTTTGTCTTCTCAAGCTGACCTTTGAAATTTTCTGTTCAGCTCTTGTACCTACTCATTTCTTCCATTATGGACATTATCCTATTACAGACTGCATTGTACTTCAAGACAGATCTTCATGTGTTCTTTTCGATGATCAATATAATGCCATTCCTATTCAATTTGTCATTCCCAGCATAGTAAACCATGTGATTGTTAGATTCAAAATGGCCAAAGCCAGTCCACTGCAGCTCACTAATGCCTAGCATATTGATGTTCATGTGTTCCATTTCATTTTTGTCAACTTCCAATTTTCCTAGATTCATACTTTGCACATTCCATGTTCTGATTATTAATGGATGTTTACAGTTGTTTGTCTTCATTTTGAGTTGTGCCCTTCAGCAAATGAAAGTCCCCCAAGGCTTTACTCCATTCACATCATCACGGTAACTTTACTTCCAGGAGGTAGCTCTTGCACAGTTGCATTTTGAGTGTCTTCCAACCTGAGGCATTCATCTTTCAGCACTGTATCTGACAATTTTCTTGTGGTCTTCATCATGTTTCAACATTCAATATTCTGGTACTGGCAGTGTTCCTCTGCTATTTATAATGGTTTCAGTGATTAAATATTCAGAAGTAGTCTATCTCTCCTTCTTCCTAGTCTGTCTTCATCTGGAACCTCAGCTGAAACCTATCCACTGTGTGTGACTCTGCTGGTATTTAAAATACCCTTGGCATAGCTTTCAGAATCACAGAAACACATAAGCCACCACAGTACGATAAATTGACAGACAAGCGGTGGGAATTATGGTATAGGTGAAGAGTAGTGAACATTCATATATCATGGACTATCAAAGAATGAACACATCTGTGTTGGAGGAAGTGCAGCTAGAATGCTCCTTAGAGACAAGGATGGAGAGATTTTGTTTCATATACTTTGGACAAGTTACCAGGAGGAAACAATCATGGCAGACGGACATCCTCTGGTCAGTCAAAAAGGGAGGCCCTCAATGAGATGAAGTGACACAGGAGCTGCAACAATGGGCTCAAACACTAATAACTCTGAGGAAGGCATAGAATTGGACCACGTTTCATTCCATTTGCATGAGATAGATATGAGTTGGAACTGACTCAACGACACCTAGCAAAAAGTATCCAATCAAATTCAGCTATTTTGGCAGCAGGGTAGAAGTAATTAGATTGATGCTGGTCTAGGGTTCTTAGTACAGAATGTCCTATACCCTGGATTGTTGAAAGACCTTTGGTTGGATAGTTCTGATCATATCTACAAAAAACAAACAACAGAAAACACCCACTTGGCTCAGTGCTCAGAAGGTTAGCATAGCTTTAACTCTGAGAGAGAATGAAATGGGAACAGCTGGGGAAGCTTCAGTGAGTAATCAAGCAGATAAATGCACTTAACGATTACTAAACAATACACAAGGAGCCTTGGTGGCACAATGGTTAAGTACTTGGCTGTGACCTGAAAGGCTGAATCCACCAGTGGCTCTGCAGAAGAGGAGATCAGGCAATCTGCTCCCCTGACAATGACAGTCTATGGAATCCTATGGAAGAGTTCTTCTCTGTCCTACAGAGTCACTATGAGACTGGACAGTACACAATGACAAAATAAGGATGAAATCTAAATAAACATCAAACAAGGCCACAGGGAATCAGAACCTTCAAAGAAAAAGGATTCAAAGTGGAAAGAATCACCTTCTTTCCATTAATAATAGCTCACCTTGTAGCGGTTCTACTAGAATGTAAACTCTATCAGAGGAGATGTTGGCTTTCTTCACCAAGCACTCCCACCACCTGCCCGGCACATGGTAGGTACTTGGGAAATGGCTGGTGAGTAAACGAACCACAAATGGGCCACTAACTCAGTTTCTGGAACCTCTGGTCTATAAGCACTCCCAGGTAGCAGGGACTGAGTGGGTACACACAGAGGCCTATTTGTGTCTGTCTTCTATCTGTCTTCAAACCTCTGCATGGGTCACAGAGACAGGTTTCAGCCTACTCTGCAATTGGACAGAACAGCTGTCTAGATGTGTATGTCACTAGAAATGTTCCAGCATCGAGTAGATGGTATTATAGACTGAATGGTGCCACCCCCTGCCCAAGTATGCATTGAAATCCTGGTCCCTGTACTGTAAATATGACCCTGTTGGAAATAGGGTTTCTTTGTTATGTTAATTAGGCCATGCCTGAGTCTGGTGGATTCTCAATCTCATCACTTCTGGTCATTATCAAGAGCAGCATGGACACAGAGACACACACGGGGAAGAGGGAGACAGACAGGCACAGGTGCATCTACAAGGATTACTGCAGCTACTGGAAGCTGAAATAGACAAGGAAGGACCTTCTCCAGGAGCAGAGCCCGAAATTCAAACTCCTAGCCTCCTGAACTGTGACACAATGAACTTCTATTCTTTAAAGACACCCACCTATGGTCTGGTCTCTGCACTAGATGTAAAACTAGGCAGGCGTCGTGTGGGGTGAGAGGTGCCTGGGGAAGGAGAGGAACCCCAGAGGAGAATCCCTCTCCACCCTAAGAGCAGTCCAGGATTTGACACTCTATGAACCAGGGTTTCCCTTCCCAGACCCACCCCTGAATCTTCCTCTTCTGCAGTTCACTGATGCCCTGTGAAAAGCCACCCTAGCCTCTGGAATGGAAAAATGCACTTCAATAATATCACCTGTGTTTCTCATGAGGCCTGGTTCTGGACCAAGCAGCCATCTTTTTGCTACTACTAGCCAGCCCCTTGCTGTCCTGTGTCTCAGTTTCTCCAGGTGTTCCACGAGCCAGGCAGACTAGGCGAGGCAAGAGGTCCCTGGGGCCTTGGCGTCTAGTAGTAGCCTCTGGAAGCAGTTGGCGGGTGAGGATAGGACACATACCTGTTGTCAGGGTTAGAAAAATGCAGCAGTCTCTCACAGGCTGGGGGGTGACCACGAAGCGGTGGGCTTCCCGCAGGGAGAAACAGGCTCTGGCGGCACGTGGGGCTGGGGCCTTCAACCAGGTCCATGTCCAGCAGGCTCTTCTTCTCTGAACCTGGGGTGCAGTGGCCGTAGCTTCCGTTCACTGGGTAAGAAAGATAGGGAGAAAGGGAGACAAAATGAGTGGGGTTGGCCTGCACAGGGAGAAGTCAGTCATTGGGGTACAGTGTGGGACTGAGCACCCTAAATCCAATACTAACTGAGCCCCTCCTTGTTCAAGGCCCCTGGGATACCTCATTTTATATTTCCATAATCACCCACAGGTCAGTAATAAAATCCCTAATTTTCAGATGCTGCTGCTGAGGCTCAGTGGGTAAATGACCATTTCACAAACATGACGCACTTACTATGTACCAAATACTCTGTTAGGAGCAGGACATACTGGTGAATAAGACAAAATCCTGGTCTCTTCTAGCTTACCGTGTGCTATCTTCTATTATACATACACAGTGGGCTCATTTGAGAGCATGTTAGAAAGTCTGTTGGGATTGGTGAATCTAGAGTTGATGCTGGTCAACAGACAGAGTGAGCATGACTGAAATGATGGACGCTGGGTGGTGGAAATGGTTAAGGAGCTTGGCGGTTAAGGAGAAAGAAAGGTGCTCAAGGCACCTCAGAAAGGCCTGGTGGACTTCTTCTGAAAAATCAATTTTCTTCTTTGAAAACTCTGTGGAGCATCCTTCTACTCTGACTCACCTAGTGGGGTCACCTAGTTATTGGTTAGATGCTTACTAAACAGCATTTGTTATTATTATTATCAAAGCTAGATCTACATTGTTATCCAAATTGCATTACACCATGGAAACAGTGAGGTGTTATTAACACCAGTGTATCCTCCATGCTTTGACCCTAGGCCCAACTTTGCCCAGATGACTGGGTTTTTGTGAAGATTAACTCAGGCAGTTGATGTGAAAGCCCTTGAAAAACTCTATTATAAAGTATAATAAAAATGCAAGACATGACTATTATAAGTCACTGTCCTCTCTGGCGTTGTTCTGTCATCTGGAGAGTGATGAGATTAATCTGGAGACATTATCTTTTAAAGTTTTCTGCCCTGCCACCTCACAGGGTTCTGCTAAGGAGGAAAGGATGTGGGCATTAGGGCTTGCTGGGCTTCCATGTGAGGACTTCGGCCCCAAATGAACTCAGTGACTCAGTCAAGTCCCTGCCGGGCAGACCTCAGCTTCTCTGTATAAAACGGGCTGGTCACAACAAATCTGCACAGACGCTGTGGGGCTATGGGAGCAGGCTGTGGAGGTTCATACAGTGCAGACATCTAGTAGTTGCTCCAGGAATGGAAATTGTTCTTTTTGTCAAATGTTGGTTGTTGGTTGGTAGAGTTGGTTCCAACGCACAGCAACCCTGTTTAAAGTTTTCAAGGACTAGCTGGTGGGTTTGCGCCAACCTTGCAGTTAGCAGTCCAGTGCTTATCCTGCAGCACCACACTTTGAAAAGTATGAAGTGCCCTGTTGCTGTTGGTGACACTGAGTTGATTCCAACTCATAACAAGCCTGTATAGGGTTTCTGAGGTTGTAAATCTTTACAGGAGCAGAAAGCCTCATCTTTCTCCTGTGGAATGGCTGGTGGATTCAAACTTCTAACCTCAGAGTTAGCAGTTCAGCTCATAACCTACTATACTACAAGAACGCCTTATAAAGTTACCTAGAGATCTGGTAGCATAGTGGTTACGAGTTGGGCTGCTAACCACAAGGTCAGCAGTTTGAAACTAGCAGCCATTCTGCGGGAGCAAGATGAGGCTTTCTGCTCCCATAAAAACTTACAGCCTCAGATACCACATACAGGGTCACTATGAGTCAGAACCGACTTCATAGCACATCACCACTATCAGAGATGATCAATAGGCCCAACTGTTGTCCAGTCTTCTCAACACGAACTGAGCAAGAGAAACCATTAAAATGCTACGAAAACATCACCAAACCTTTAAATGTAACAATAACAACAGCAGAAACATTTGTTTAGCAGTGTTTGCTCTAGGGATCACGGTGGCTCTGTAGGATAAGTACTGGATTTCGAACCACACGGTTTAAGCCCACCAGGAACTCTGTGGGAAAAGTATGAGGCTATCTGCTCCTACAAAGATGTATAGCCTCCAAAACCCTATACAGGGTTGCTATGAGTTGGAACCGACTGGATAGTACTTTTAACAACAACAACAGTAACAATGGCTCTGAGCTAGTGATTTATATGTATGATCTCATCTGAGCTTCACTATTGCTTTCAGAGGGAGTTATTATTATTGCTATTTATATCCCCACCTTGTGAAGAACAAAACACAGAGGTTCAAGGAGACAAATTCACTCACCCAAGTCATGCAATTGGTAAAATGTGAGCAGACTCTTCAGCTCGGGTCTGAGAGAGAGAGAGAGAAGGACACACACAGCCTTTTTTTAAAGGCCACCCTCTTTTTTGTAATAGTGTATTTTCTTTTATGCTGTATTCTATTTTTTTTTGTTGTTGCTGAATATATTACAGAGCAAAAGACACACCCGTTCAACAGCTGTTGTTGTTAGGTGCCATCAAGTCGGTACTGACTCATAGCAACCCTATGCACAACAGAATGAAACACTGCCCCATCCTGGGCCAACCTCACAACTGTTGCCACGCTTGAGCCCATTGATACTGCCACTCTGCCAATCCATCTCGCTGGGGGTCTTCCTCTTTTTCTCTGACCCTCCACCTTACCAAACATGATATTCTTCTCCAGCTACTGTTCCCTCCTGACAATATGTCCTAAGTATGAGAGACAAAGTGTGGCCATCTTGGCCTCCAAAGAACACTCTGGCTGCACTTCTTCCAACACGGATCTATTGGTTCTTTTGGCAGTCCATGGCACTTTAAATATTCTCCTCCAACACCATAACTCAAATGTGTCAATTCTTCTACGGTCTTCCTTATTCACTGTCCAGCTTTCGCATGCATATGAGGTTATTGAAAATACCATGGCTTGGGTCAGGCACACCTTAATCCTCAGGGTGACATCTTTGCTCTTCAACACTTTGAAAAGGCCTTATGCAGATTTGCCTAATGCAATATGTTGTTTGATTTCTTGACTGCTGCTTCTGTGAGTGTTGATAATTGATCCAATAAGAATGAAGTCCTTGACAACTTCAATTTTTTTCTCCGTTGATAAGAATGTTGTTTATTGGTCCAGTGGTGAGGATTTTTGTGTTCTTTACATTGAGATTCAATCCATACTGAAGGCTGTGGTCTTCAGTATGGATTCAACAATGCACATGTACAATTCCGTGACATTGATTATATTCTTCAAATTGTGCAACCATGCTTGCCCCTCTTTGCAAGTGATTCCCCGCCACTGTTCACTTGCTGCCTCCTAATCCTCCTATCTAACCTCTCGAGTTGTCGTGGTCAAATTGATCCCATATAAATATAATTATAGCTGTAACAGCTGGAACCTGTTACAGGGGGGAAAAAACACCTGTCAGAGAAGGGAAACTCAAGAATGTAGTTTCCAGTATATGTGATTGGGATGTGCTAAGACTGCACCCTATCAAAAGGTGAAAAACTTGTGAGGCCTGGAAAAACAAGGCAGTCCTCTTTCCAGTTCCACCTTTCACAGGTTTTAATGTATTTCTTTCAAAAAGCACAATGCTCAAGGCAGACTTTCTATATTAACTACGCAGAGACTTCAAAAAGTTCATGGAAAATGGAATAAAAAGAGAACAGATTTTTCCACGAACTTTTTTAAGCCCTCTCATGCTGTTTGTAAATCCCACATCTTAATCGCTGTGTAATAAGAAGCAGCCTGAGAGAGTCAAGAGTCTAATTCCACCTCTAAGGATGACTTGCCCCAAGCCCTAATTCTAGTCTGCCCTGAGGTAGGCCCTTCAGCCAAGTCTAGACACACAGTGTTAAACAGACCCTGTTGTCCATGACTCTGGACTTACAGAGCACTTCACAGTTTTCAGTTGAGACTACAAGGGTGTCCAGATCCCAGGACAGATGAGGGGCCCAGAAGCGTCTTCAGGTCCCAAGCCCAGCATCCTCCTGCCAAGACTCAGATAAATATCTGCACTCTACCTCCACCCCTTTCCCAGCCAGAGCCCTGGCCTGTGTCCTGCTATGGGAACACTCACTTACCAGTCCTGGCTGCTCCCTGGCCAGCCCCTCACAAGTTTATTTTTTAATAACTTGACTGCTTTTTAATTAAAAAGAAATCCCTGGTAACAAATGTGAATGGCCCGAGTTAATGAGAGCAGGCTGCCGCTTGTTTCACTCCGCTCTGCTTGGCGCTTGCTGCTTTTTCCAAATGCGACTTTATTGTCCCATTGAGGCAAGTCCTGGGACTGGGCCTCAGAAAACTGTGGATAATTTTATGACCATTAACAGCATTTGGAGCAAAGAGAGCTTAGTCATCACACAGGGCTGATTTACCAGGGCCTTTTTCCCAGTCGATGGGGGGCAGTTCTGAGTGCTGTCTAGAGATCCTCTAGGCCCTTTGGGGGCTCTGGATTTCTCACTGAGTAGCATGCATGGAGAGATGGAAGCTGGGCACTTGAAAAGGTGATGGGACATTTATAAAGTCCTTACTAAGGGCTGGGCACATTCATGTGTGATGGACACCCATCCCCAGGAGGAGACTCCTTATGACCATTTTGCAGATTAGGAAAGCTGAGGCTTGGAGGGATCAATGCCCTGGACCAGGCTCAGGGTCTGTAAGAGGTGGGGCCACAACCCAAACGCAGACCCAAGTTCCGTCCTGCTGCCTCTAAGCCAAGCAATGAGGAACTGGGGACCTCCAAACAAGCCTCCCCACCTTTGATTCAAATGATGATTCTTTTCTAGAGCCTTTGGGGGCGGTAAAAGCACTGTCTGATTAAGACCCTTAATAGGACTCCTAAACTTTAACCTTTGCGAAAACTCTGCCATATGGGTAAGACCATCCCATTGACAGTCAAGGACACAGAGTCTCAGAATGGTTGCCCAATGCGCCACAGGGAGTAACAGGCTGAGTTGAGATGCAAACCCATCACCTCTGTGGGAAAAAATAGAAATTACTCAGCAAATAATTGGAACTTTTTGGTGTCTTCTCGGTTGGCTACACTA